GATCTGAATTTATCCGGATATCCGTTTACTATTGATATCCGAATAATTTATTTGAATATTTGTCGGATTATCCGGATATCAATAGTAAATGGATATCCGGATAAATTCAGATATGGATAAATGGATAACGGATTTATCCGGATTGGAACTCTAAGAATAAGATATCGATTAATACGTAATATCAATGTTATCGTGCAATTATGATCATGATTTACAAGTCTTGGTCAACCGAGTTTTAATTCGGGATTGTTGTGCTTACGTAATAACGTACAAAACAAGAAAAAATCTATGATCATGAGTTTGCACGATAACTCGAGTTATCGGTTGGTACGATCATAGTAAGTGGTACCTAAATCATTAAATTTAGTCTGTTATTTCACGAGATACATGTGTTTAAATTCTTCACGACTATCTGATTTTCTTGAAAAAACTTCCCATTACAGTAATTCGATTAAATTCGATCCCAATTTTATTAAGTCCCTGATCACATGATCTCACAATATGCTAATTTCGGCAAAATCGTCGGATATTTTGGCGTTTTTGGAAGTTTGCCGAAGGTGTCACCTATTATAATAAAGATCCATATGCAGTCGAATCTTCATACATGCATATCCTGAATAAGCATTTAAAATATTTATAATGAATTTTCCTTAAGTGCACGTGTATATTCTCCAACATCGTGCACTTATGGAGATATTTATTTAAATGCAAAAAGAAGTACATCATTTAAAATTATTTATTAATCAAAAACAAATTAAAGTCTTGAAAAGTTAGAAAAATGGGTCCAACTCAGGATCCTGATGGGGACGTTCAAATAACTGATCTTGGAATTGAAAACCAATTCAAAGAATTATTAAAAAATACACAAAATAAGGTTATTGAAAGCCTGAACATAAGTTTTCAAAACTTGCTTGATGAAAATAAGAAACTCCAAAATCAGCTAACCGAACTAAAAGATGAATTAAGCAGGCTCAAAAGTTCCTCATCAGAAGGTGAATTTCGAAACGTTAAGAATTTTATAACTGCGCAACTAAATGAAAGTTTCGAAAATCAAAATAAGGAATTTTACAAACAACTGACTCTATTCAAAGAAGAATTGAAGGACAAGAAGGATAGAAACTCTTTAAATGAGCTTTGGCATATTATTGAGAATGAATGTCAAAGTGTCAAAGATAAATTAAATCCCAGCGTGGATAAAGAAATTGAATTAGATCAATTACGAAAAGAAAATATGGAATTAAGGCAATTGAATAATAAATTAAAAGAAGAAAACTCGGACTACCAAGTTACCATAGATAATGCGACTAAATATCGATTTGCTGACGATGATCAAAATAATTCTTTTCATTTAAACAAGGACATTAATGACCTGAATAATAAAATTTCTAAGTTTGTTACTAATTTGAAAGAGGACATCCAAATACATTCAGATAATTTTTCAAACCTCTTTCGCCACTATAAGTGTACCCAAGACACCAAAAAAGAAGATACACAACTTGAAAAGGAAATTTTAAAACGTTTAGTAATTGATACAATTATTCAAGAATTCAGTGAATTTTTAAAATCCGAAAACTCTTGTTTTGAAAAGGAAATAATGAGGGATTTAAAATTGTTATTTGACAAATCAACTGATACAAATTCAGGTAACAATGACATTAAGAAATCTGTTTTAACAAAAATAAAACAAATTTATGCTATTCTCGGAAGCTCGGGATTTACAGAACCAGATCATCCGTTTATAAATCATTGCAAGGCACAACTTATTAAAATAATGAATCAATACCGCACTATTACTAATGAATCTAAGAGAATGGAAATTGAAGATCAGGCTTCAGTTCTTGTTCGTGATGTTGTTAGTATATTTTGTTTTCGAAGATTCGCGCAAGAACCAATAATAAATTATACGTGGATTAAAAATGATGAGCCCATAGATTCATTAACTATGACAGGCACTTGCACTTGGAACGAAAATGAAATTGATAAATTGGTGGTACAAATTTGCTCATTTCCACTTTTTGGTGTAAACCTAGAGGATCAGGACAAAAGACAAATTTACACTCAGGCTCGCGTTATCGCAAAAGAGATATCTCCAGAGAAACTAAGGAAACGTGCGCGTGGATATATGCTGTCAGGCAAATTTGAAAAATCTCTTATCACCGTAAATAAAGTATTAGAAATTGTGCCAAATGATATGCTTGCGTTAAGACAACGTGGAGAGACTCATTATAGGTTGCACAAATATGATGAATCACTTAAAGACTTAAATGAAGTATTAAAAAAAGATCCAGATGACGCACATGCATTGTACATTCGTGGGTCAACTTTTCATATGGTTGAAAATTATGGTGATGCACTAGATGATTTGAACAGATCGATAATACTTAAACTAGATGCAGCTGCGTTAAGACAACGAGCCAAAACTTTTTACACGCTTGGAAAGTATAAAGAATCACTTGAAGACTTTACGAAATCATTAGGAATGGATCCAAATAATGCATTTGCGTTAAGATTTTGTGGAGAAATTCATTTTATAAATAAAGAGTATGAAAAAGCTTTTACATATTTAGATAAATCATTAGGAATTGAACCAGATAATGCATTTGCACTGCATCTACGTGGAGACATTTATCGCCTGATAAACAAATATGATAAAGCAATTTCGGATTTAAATAAATCATTAGAAATTGCACCGGATAACTCATTTGCATTAAACGCTCGCGGAGCAGCTTACTACATGATAAATAAATATGAAGAAGCAGTTGCAGATCTCGATCATTCCCTAAAAATAAATCCAAATAGTGCATTTGCACTTAGATATCGTGGTAAAGTTTACATCATGATGAAAAAGTACAATGAAGCACTTTCAGATTTAAATCAATCATTAGAAATTGATCCTGACAATGCGGTTTCATTAAGTGATCGCGGAGAAGTTTATAAATGCAAGGGCCAAATGAACGATGCGCTTTTAGATTTCGATAGATCATTAAAAATCGATCCAAAAAATATAAATGCACTGTCTAACCGCGGAGATATCTACCGAGTGAAGAAGAATTATAATGAAGCGCTTAAAGATTTAAATGAAGCATTAACTATTAACTCAAATCATGTATATTCATTGAAGGTTCGAGGAATAACTTATTACGAGATGGGTAAACGTAACGAATCACAAATTGATCTGGAAAAAGTAAAAACCCTTTATCCAAATGATGGTTCCACATTAAGTTATCTTAATAAGCTGAAAAATAGATAACGTATGTAATTAATTTGAACTTTTATCAATCAAACTTCACATTCAAATTTTCTATTATAGTTTTCGAGTTATAAATATAGAATATATGTAGGATTCGATGCACAGAGGCATGGACATACCTATGAGCATGCCGAAACCCCCAAAAGGCCCAGGCACGCCATAATCATGTGATATACAAGATCCAAAATGATTGCCTAAAAACCATTAATCATATCCGCAATACTTTTACATTTTATTATATATACGTATATGTACATATCAAATATATATAGTTTTTATTATAATTTTTATTAATAATAAATAATTTAATATTAATGATTTGGATTTAGGCCTTTGTACTACTAGTACATTTATTTAAGGCTTTAAAAAACCTAAAAATTATTTTTAAAAAAATTTATATACAAAAATCTATTAAATGCTATAGTATTACAGAAATTAATTTTTTTAAATAATAAAGTAGAGAATTGCTATTTCCACCCCCATTTTTGCTAATGCCACCCCAGATATCAAAAAGTGCTCCGAAAGAGGTATTATTATTATATAAGCATTCTCTTGGTCTTAATAAAAGTTGTTCATCAGGCCTTCTGGTTTTAATGGTAGTAAAATCATTAAAATCGGACTGATAGTTTTTTTTTAAATATAAATAAAAGTTAACTAACTTCAAATATAAATATCTTAGGAACCGCTGGTCCGATTTTAATGATTTTATTACCATTAGAACCGGAAAGGCCTGATGAACAACTTTTATTAAGACCAAAAAGAAGGTTTTCTTAATAACAATACCTCTTTCGGAGCATTTTTAAATTTTGGGGTGGCATTAGCAAAAATGGGGTGATTAAGAAAAAAATTATTTACAAAATGTTACATCTTAGAGTTTTTGTTGTATAACATATGGTATATTTTTAACTATAATTTTTACTATTAAATTACTAGTAAAAAAATTTTTTATAATTTATTGCTATAGTGATATATCGCTACCCGGGCATAATCATGGTTACGGTACGATTCCCGAAAGCTAGTTCCCTGACGTGCCACTTACCCGACATCACGCAGGTGACAATTTTCTAAAAATATATATCTACAACTAACAACAGCAACCACTTGACCAAAATCGATAAACTTTTTTTATTTAAATTCTACAGATCTGTAGAATTCAAATAAAAAAAAGTTTATCGATAAAATGCTAATCCTAACCCTATGTGATGTCGGGTAAATAGTTTTTCGGGAAAGTGGGTTTCGGGAAAGTGAGAATCAACGCATAATCATTGGGTTTTAATATTCAAACATTACTAATTACAAGCAGAGTTTAAATATTAAAATCTTGATATCACACTATATAATAACTACGTCTTAAAAGATAGCAATATATCGCTATAGCAATAAAATAAAAAATTGATTTTTTTTTTTAAATTTTTTAAAAAATTTTTATTAAAGTTTTTTTTATAAAAAAATTAAAAAAATTTAAATCATACGAAAATTTAAATATACTTTTATTTGCAAAAATACTATTCCTGATAAATTGTTGGTACTGGTGGGAAAAAAATCGATTTACATACTATTCCTAATAGGTCGAAAAAAAGACCTCTAAAATACTATACTAATATAATGAAAAAAGTTAGGATTAGGGTTTGTTTTTAAGGCCTTATCAGGAATAGTGCTCAAATAAAATTTTTTAACTACATCAAGATCGGTATTTCCGATCTATCAAGAATAATATTTTTGTTTTTTATTCAATCAAAAAATTATAAAAAAATATTTAAATTTACTACAGTGCACGATATTTAAAGACTAAATAATTTCAAAGATTAATTACTTATAATATAGAAAAGATATAAAAAAAGCTACCAAATTATAGCTAATTTAATTTGCTACAATTTAGTAGTTTTATTTTTAAAATAATTATTATATACTGTATATTTGATTTGTATTATTTTAATATATATGATATATTAAAAAATTAATAAAAATAGAACAAATTACATGTTTTAGCCTCTTACTATTGGTTAATTTCTAAATAATTTTTAATAAATAAAATTTTGACTAATTAAATTATAAAAAATTAAAAATTTAGCCAATCAGAATACAAAAACTGCAAAAACATCAAATTTAATATAAAAATTTTTAAAATAAAATAAATTATATGATTTTAAAATTTAAATATTACATATTATATTAGTTATACAAATTTATAGATCATATGCTTCAATTTTTAGAATTTAAATTAGTGTTTTTTAAAGTTAGCATTTTTTTAAATTTTAAAAGCAAATAACTTTTAATTTATAAATTTTAAAATATAATTTTATTATTATCATATTTATCTCTTTAATATAATTTTAACAAGTTCAAAATCATCCAAATTCAATTATAGAATCAAGAAATAAAGCTTGGTCAAATAAGTATACATTTTATATGTCAGACAATTGGTTAATCTAGTTTAACCAATTGTCTAATATATAAGATATATATTTATTTGTTCAAGTTTTATTTTTTGATCCTGTGATTAGATTTGAATAATTTTAAACTTGTTAGAATTATATAAAGAGGGCAAAATTTATTAACAATTTTCATATTTTCTTTTCTATCTCTATTACTTCTGCTCTTTTTATTATAGTCTTTTAAGAAATTGAATATTATTTTTAGCTTTTTTTTCTAGAGCTACAAGTCTTGTTTCTTACTAATATTTATATATTTTTATTAAAATAAAAATTAACAAAATATATATTTTTTTTAGTTATATAATTATATCTTAGATTTTTAATACCTTTGGTTAAAATCTTTTTTATTATTTTTAGAATAAAATATATAGTTTGAATATTAAATATAAAGAAAGGTTTGCTAAAAACTAGAAACTTACTTGAATACAAACTACTTAAATATATCTGCTTTTTAGTATTTTATATCTTTTAAGCTTTATTAACAACAACTTATTTTATATAAAATTAAGAATATTATATTTTTTGTAGTTAAATATTTTGGTAATTAACTAAAAACTTAATAAAAAGAGTTGATTAATTTTTTTTTTTTAGTTTTAAGTTTTTTTTATAAAATTTTTAACAAAAAATAAAAATTAAAAAATTTTTTAGTTTAAGATGAGGTTATATCTTTTAGTCTTTATTAATATATA